ACTGTTCAAAGGAATCTTCTGCATCAGCCAAGAACTGAAAAGCAGCGCTTGTTCCGTCAAGCAGCAGCAGCGCCCCCCCCCCCCCGCATCACAGAAGGAGGAAAGCCGGCCTTAGCCAGCGATCCGACTGGTACGTTCATAACCTACACGGAAATAGTGCAGCCTGTTTGGACAGCCACTGAAGCAGCCTATAATTTATGCAATCTGTCTTCCTAAAGCGTCTTGCTTTGGAATGCACTACCGCATTCAGCAGTGGAACCCTTTAAATGGCCCTCACCGAAGTTGCTGATGGAAGATAATTGTGGCCTTAAAGTTCTTGAACAGTGTGCTTGAAGCTCTTGACTTGTTTAACCACTTTATTGGCAAGCTTTCGGCATATAATGCCTTCGTCAGGCCTTAAATTACAATTTCGAACATATAATAGCTACAACGAGCAATGCGTAAAACCTCACATACCAGGCCTTGAGAGGGACGGACCTATCGGCGGGGTGTCAGGGCAATAAGTGACCCGCACTATGACAATGAGACAAATGGGTGGCGGTGATTATGCGATGAGTCTCAGAAGGTCACGTAGCTCCTCTTTTGCATTGATCTCTGGCTTGAGGCGGTGTATCTCCCGAGCTTCCATTATTTTCCTCTGGAGCGGCCGTACCAAATGGCGATGCAACACACTCACATCAAAAGACGGAGCGGTCTCATTCGGGTGTCTAAGCGTACGGTGCCTTGAGAAGCTACTTCGTGGGTAAGCTGCGGGGTTGTTCAACGCTCTTCTATGCTCGTCCAGACGATTCCTCAAAGGTCGCGCGGTCTCCCCCACGTACGTTTCTCCACATCCTCTGCATTGAATGAGATAAACAGTGCCTTGAAGTTCACAAATCTTTTCGGATGAGCAGTACCGGCAAGATTCATCGCGGCACCGATTTTCATAAATTCTTGAGGACGTGAGGAGGGTTTTCAGGGTTGGGGGAGGACGAAAAACGAGACGAATGGGGAAGCTGGGAGTTCTTCACGACGCGGTTCACCTGACGTGCCATTTTGTCGTTAACGAAAGGCATCATTAAGGTTATTCCATCAGGTGACGTATTGGGCGGATACCAGGTCCTGAAGGCACTTCGACATATCCGTTGCTTTCAAGGATGTTCTGGACCTTCGCGTCCACATCTGAATCCCTACGCGTCCCAAGCTTCTCCTTTGTTCTGACCAAGTTTCGCACGACGTTTGCCTTCATATATATCGGGTGTGCACTTCTGGAATGCAACAGTATATTCGACGAGGCTTCTTTCTTATACCACAGGTGTTCCTTTCGACCTTCACTTATCCGAACTTTCGTATTGAGAAACGGCAAAAAACCGTCCCTCCCTGGATCTTCTCTGGTGAAGGTTATGTTCCTGTCGTGTGAATTCAGTCTCTCCAAGGTTTCCACAAGATCGTCTTCCGTTCTTCCAATAACAAACACGTCATCAATGTAACGTTTATAAAACAAATATTCCAGTTGACAATGATGACTTCTCAATGTGGTCCAAGAAGATGACTGCTAACACGGGTGCTATTCGATTACCCATGGCTAAGCCTCGTTTCTGCTTGTAGATCTTGTTGTCGAAGCAGAAAATGTTGCATTCCAGCGCAACTTCAATGAGTTCCTTTATTTCGTATGCGGAGAATCCCATTGTAGAGACGTGATCTTGGTGCTCTTCAAGAAGGGATAAGACAGCTTGCACTGCATCCGCATTGTTCACATTCGTATATAAGGCAACTACATCGAAGCTTGCGTAGAAGGCTGTCGTCTGGATGGGACACTGGTGAAGAGACGAGATGAATTCATCAACGTTCACAATGTGTGCTCCCACGTATTGCAACAGTGGTGAAAGAAGTTGTACTAGAAGCCAACTTAGCCTGTCCGCTGGACCACCACATGATGCAATAATTGGTCTTGTCTTGATTGCGCTTAACGGGAGCGACATTGTGTCTTGCGTTGATGGTAGTTTATGTGTCTTCACCAGATTATAGAGCGTTGGCACAATTGGAACCGAACCATGCAGCCGTTTCGCCATTTCCGAACTCGTACGCCCTTTCACGGTTGACATGATAGCATGCTTCACTCGTCTGCAGATTGCATCAAATGCTGACAAGGTACTCTCTTCATAAACAGTTCTATCAGAGAGCACTTGGTGGGTGAGGGCCTTATCCATCGTTTGAGGCATTACGACAAATGAACCGCATTTATCTCCGACCGTGTACCTCAATGTTCTTCTTGCTTGCAGTAATTTCTTCACTCCCTTTTGCTCGGATGGTGTCAAATTACTGCGATAAGGCTCACTCATTGCATTCTGGTATATCTGCTGAATGTTATACTGCAAATTCGCAATTCTTGCATCCATGTCACGTGAGGAGGGGGGTATTTGTATAGACTTTCCTTTAAACGGCATCAGGGACATCAAGGTGTCATGCTGATTGAGCACGGTTGGTCCGCGGTGTGCTCTCCAACGTAGTTTATATGCGAATTGGTGGACTCCACAGAGCGCGGCGTCGATTACTGTATTATTCACCCTGGGTGTTATTGCAAATGATGGCCCAAGATTAAGGGCGGCAGCCATATCATTGTCCACTTCATTTGTTCCAATGACCACATGACGAGTTGGTGGAACAGCATTCATTCTGAAGAACTGCGACTCCTGTGAGGGTGGTTGACGGGCTCTCAGCAGGTTAAGTTTTCTTTCAAAATGTCTATTCTGGTTTTCTCGCAACTGGGCACAAACCCTTTGGTTTTCCGAAGACATTCTCTGCCAAGTCTCCTGACTCAGCGCCGAACGTAGTATGTTCCGATAAAAAACTATTCCTCGTATGCAGAATGTTTTGTGACGACGTTGTTCGGCGATGCCCGCATCAAGTAGTGCAGTTTTCAGGCTTTCAGTTCTTGCGAGGACAACTCGGTTTTCGGAAGGGTAGCTGCCGAAAATCTATTTGCAATGAAGTTGGGGAATACACCCCGCCGATAGGTCCGTCCCTCTCAAGGCCTGGTATGTGAGGTTTTACGCATTGCTCGTTGTAGCTATTATATGTTCGAAATTGTAATTTAAGGCCTGACGAAGGCATTATATGCCGAAAGCTTGCCAATAAAGTGGTTAAACAAGTCAAGAGCTTCACGCACACTGTTCAAGAACATATTGATGAAGCTCAGAGATAGCAGTATCTTGTCATATTTGAAATTCCTGCAGAGCCGATATAGTATTTCTCGGGAACATTTCGCTATCTTACTACAATATGTGGGCCTCCACCAGCACGCAGTATACCACAACGCGTCAATTAAGTTCCTATACTCGTGCAAGCGTGAGCACATATTCCCCAACTTCATTGCAAATAGATTTTCGCAGCTAGCCCTTCCAGATACAACCGGTTGTCCTCGGCAAGAACCTGAAAAAGCCTGAAGAACTTTGCACTACTTGATGCGGGCATCGCCGAACAACGTCGTCACAAAAACATTCTGCATACGAGGAATAGTTTTTTATCGGAACATACTACGTTCGGCGCTGAGTCAGGAGACTTGGCAGAGAATGTCTTCGGAAAACCAAAGGGTTTGTGCCCAGTTGCGAGGAAACCCAGAATAGACATTTTGAAAGAAAACTTAACCTGCTGAGAGCCCGTCAACCACCCTCACAGGAGTCGCAGTTCTTCAGAATGAATGCTGTTCCACCAACTCGTCATGTGGTCATTGGAACAAATGAAAGTGGACAATGATATGGCTGCCGCCCTTAATCTCGGGCCCATCATTTGCAATAACACCCAGGGTGAATAATACAGTAATCGACGCCGCGCTCTGTGGAGTCCACCAATTCGCATATAAACTACGTTGGAGGGCACACCGCGGACCAACCGTGCTCAATCAGCATGACACCTTGATGTCCCTGATGCCGTTTAAAGGAAAGTCTATACAAATACCCCCCTCCTCACGTGACATGGATGCAAGAATTGACGGAATTTGCAGTATAACATTCAGCAGATATACCAGAATGCAATGAGTGAGCCTTATCGCAGTAATTTGACACCATCCGAGCAAAAGGGAGTGAAGAAATTACTGCAAGCAAGAAGAACATTGAGGTACACGGTCGGAGATAAATGCGGTTCATTTGTCGTAATGCCTCAAACGATGGATAAGGCCCTCACCACGCAAGTGCTCTCTGATAGAACTGTTTATGAAGAGAGTACCTTGTCAGCATTTGATGCAATCTGCAGACGAGTGAAGCATGCTATCATGTCAACCGTGAAAGGGCGT